TGCGCTAGTGGTTTCCAGCCTCAGTTGGGTTGAAATGCTTATAAGAAATCCCCTGCCACCTACTCCAAACCACTTTCTGTCATCCACTGACGTCCGTCAGATACGTCATGCGTTGTTTTCCCTTGTCTTTCTTTCCCTCTATTCGATTTATCAGATTTTACAAGCCCTCCTTTCTCATTTCGTATCCCAGAAATTTCAGCTGCCTCTCCCTGATGTTAAGTATTATCTTCCGCCTTGTTTGCATCCTCTCCAAAACCTAATCTCTGCACATACGCTCGGTCCATGTTATACTTAGCATAGAAACATATATCGGTTGCAAAGAGTCTCTTCATTTTTGAGGAAACCGTCCACCTTTACCTGCAGTAAAAGACAGATCTCACTAGCTTCTCACTACTCTTTTCTTTGGTACCAAAGAAATCTCCCTGACTTGCAATACGTGGCCCAGATTATGAAATGCGTCCTTGGCCATCCCAATTCTTCTTCGGATCTCGCAATTACACTTCAGATATTTAATCTTACGCATCTCCTTCATTTTATTCTCCCGACCCACAAACAGCATTTCGGGTTCACCCGTTTACTGATGACCATGCATTCTGTATACTATAAAAACACAAATCAAATTGTAATATAAACCTCCGTTAAGCGTCTTTTTAATGATCGTATACGATATCAGATATTACAAATACACTGAATGATTTTTCGTCTTTTTCAATATTTCTTCGAAATAAGTGAGATTTTAATAGCACTTCTATTTCAATACAGTCAAGTGTCAGTTATAATCCTGAGACATCATCGCGAGTTGCTAATTCCAAGAAACATCAGGAATAGGAAATCTTTCAATTCTTCCAAGAGGATTGTCGCAGAAACCTTCATAATTTAGCTCAAATGTCTGGAATAAATTATGGAGACTACATAGGAAGAAACTTTACGATAATACCACGTATTGCTTTTCAGAATTCTAAAAGAGTAAGAAAATATTTTCATGAATGTAAGAATTTCTTAAAAAGAAAAGAAAAAACATACATGTATCCACAAATGTCATGCAAAAATATACGATGGGAATTTAATTAGATTCAACTTTGATTTTTAGGATAGGTATGATATCACTGCACAAAAATCTTCAGGGATTAACCTAATGCTGCATATCTCTATATATATATATATTGTGTGCGTATATATAGCGTATTGAATGCTCGACAAAAGCTAGAAATTATATTCTAATATAGTTTTCCTTCAGTTGCTGAATTGCGTCTAATCTAAAAATTCTGGAAAGTTACATACAGTCGTGTAACTGTTGGGAATTCACATGAAATATTTTTTTGGGAAATGAAGCAATATGTCGCATTATTTTTTTTTTTATTTCTTATTACATATACACGTACATAATTATGTTAATCTCCATGTCTATATTGTCCCCAAATCGCACGTATCTCCGTTGTAAGTGTTTGAATTTTAATCGATTGTAGTTTGCATAAATTCATGGCTCACCTGTCATTTCTTGTCCCTATCTTTTGTTATAATGTGTAAACAATCTAGAATTTTCATTCGTAATGGAGTGATTAAATCCAGAAATAATTTGAAATGTGGAAAATACTGTGCATTCAAAATTGCTCACTTTTCATCGATAGACACATTGCATTTACAGCTTCATTTATTGAACGTCTGTATTACTTGGGACATGATTCACACGTTACGTGAAGAATTTAAGAATTATAGCGTCATGTTGTGGATCAAATGGAGAGAAATATTTTCTTCGTGATATATGTGCTCGTTAGGTTCCGATGAATTAAAATATAGTATAGCATTCAGTGTTTTATTCAAAGGCCCGTAAGGGCTATCGAATATTAATTCACTTGACTGATACAAGTGTCTGGTGCCCCCCCCCGCCCCGATTCTACGACACGCACGCCCCGCTCTTCAACTCTCAATTTCCATATAACTGTGCGCGCGCGCACACACTCACACACACACACACATATATATATATATATATATATAGGTTTGAATAAAAAAAAAAACAGACCACTTTAAGAGAGACGTCTTCTCACCCCCTCACTTCGTTAATTTACATATGCTTAATAAGGCCCATCAAAAATGTGCAAATTTCTTTTCATTTTTCATTTCAACCTTTGGAAGTTAAGTCTGATGATCCAGAGCCCTTTAAGAGGGCTATAGTGAAATAATTTATTACATGGAACCTTAAAGTAGTCTGTTTATTATTCAAACATATTTGCTCTGAATTTACATTGAGCTCTGTCCTCATTGGGTCTACCCATACGGATTACCTAGTTTTGAATAAACTATATATATATATATATATATATATATATATATATATGCAAGGTAAATGTGATTAATGACGAAACTACTAACAATATTAATGAAACGTCAACTTACTATCAATTCCTTGAATAACGCTATCCTTATATTTATAATGTTGACAGATGAATTTAATGATCCTGGGTCGCGCAGTTTCGAGAGTTTCAAATTATCTTCAGTTCTTAATATTTCCATTTACAGTTAAACACCAGGACGAAATAAATGCAGTGTAGACTGTAAAATGTTTGAAATATGCTATTTGTTGATAGTTACATTATTTTGGGACGTGCATTCAGCAACGCTAGAGTTATTATTAAATGATTCGAGTATATTCTTTAAATTTAGTAATGTGATAAATCCACGATTTATCTGTTCTTTTTTCAGTTAACGTGACATGAATTAAGTATAGTCCAATCAATAGAGCAAAATGTTTATTTTCTTCACATAATTTTAGACTGTGCATGTACTGCAGACCTGACTTTCGTAAATAGATTAGATTGTGCAGTGTTTTTATATACAGGGTATCCATAAAGTTCGTGTGCGCTTTAGTTATAAATTTTTCAAGTGCACACGAACTTACGGACTTTATATATATATATATATATATATATATATATATATAGTAATTACACAAAATATTAATGTTAGTGTAATGGCGAAATCACTTCGCTGACAAGACTTAATGAGATTAATATTGTTGTCAATTCCTTGAATAATACGATCCTTGAATTGAATTGTTAGATTGACTTCATCCTGGGCCATAAGTATATATATATATATATATATATATATATATATATATATATATATATATACATATAACACACAATGAAATGTTTTAGTTTGTGCGTTGTCAGTGATGCCAATATTTGTAAAATATTCAAATGACATAATTCTACCTATATTTTATTCTATGCTTTATAGGCAGTCGCCTTAATTTTTACACATCTTCAAAGTTATAGAACAAACACAATGAGCGTATGTGTTCTCTTGGCTAAGTTCATATGCACGCAATGTACCTTGATTATCAATCAATAACCAACGTAAAGGAATCTCATGTCGTCAACCATTTGTGTCTCGAGCCAGCCAATATGTTGGGAGTCCAATAGAAAATCTATTTCCAATGCGATGGCCTCTCGTTGCCTGATCATATTGCAAATAGTAATCTCAGGAGTCCTTCCATCTTCTCTGCAAGGAAGATCCTGTAACCAGACGGGGGTAGCCCTGTGAAACATGAACTAACACATCTACATCTATATTTAGTACTTTGTTTCTATTTCTCTACTCCTTTCTCTCTCTTTTTCCCCCTTTCCATTTTTTTTTTTTTTTTTTTTTTTTGCCAATGGATGATTAATTTTTCTCTGCATATTCATGCATTTTTCCCCATTTTCACATTCATTGTTCTTTTACTTCCTTGAAATTTACTCATTAATTTCTTTCTCCTCCAAGTATTATTCTATTCAAATCTCCCCATTATAATCTGACAAAATCAACTGACTCTACGTTCATATTTTTTTGTTCTTATCACGACTACTTCCTGTAATTCTTCGAGATCTTCATCGATTTCATTTACTAGTCGTTTACTTATTCTAATTTTCATATTCTTTTTTTTATTCAATTCTAACCCATTTTCTTGTATATTCTCCCCCACCACTTCTGCCTCGCATTGTTTCTGCGTCTTCACCTATTACATGATCTACTCTAATTACAGCAATCATAAAATACACGTCGGATTACAGTAAATGGCCTGACTGATATCTTGTTTTGAATAATATACCATATATTAAAAACACCATTTTACCGACATTGGTTATATTTCACTTAAAATATAACGCATTAAATGTACAGACTATCCCCCCTATATATATATATATATATATATATATATATATATATATATCTCAAAGTATATAATTGGTATATACGGAATGAATTCCAATAACCAACAATTACTATTCTTAAAAGAGTGCTCAATACAAAGTAGAGCAGATATAATTATTTTTATAAAAAAATTATAACATAAGTATGTTATAAAATCTCTACAATACCTTTTGTTTGTAGTGGGAATGTTCTTAAGTGATACTCCGAAATTGATTCTATCCATATTATAAGAATAGAATAGACAGGGCTCGACAGTAATAGGAGCTAATATCAAAGTATATAATTGGTATATACGGAATGAATTCCAATAACCAACAATTTACTTATGTTATTATTTTTTTATAAAAATAATTATATTTTATATATATATATATATATATATGTCATCTTCAGGCACTGTTTCGCTGTATTACGGCTACTCAGTGTGGCTAGATGTCAGATTTCTTTAAGCCTGGATGGAAACCCAACTGATTTGACATCAAATATACAAACACGGTAGAAAGGAAGGGAATTTTAACGATTTTCTCTATGCGAAATATATTAAGAGAGGGGAGATTGAAATAAGTATCCGGTGTTATGTATATATGGGTTTGTGCCTCATAAGATGAAACTACATTCGCATATCTCCAGATTAAAAAAAATTGAAATCAGAATGCTATATACTAAAAAAAAAAAAAAAAAGTCTTTTTCTGAAGAGCTAAATTGAGGCTGAAACTGGCGGTGACATTGCATACATTTATTAGTTGTCTTTTTCCGATAACAAATATAACACACACGCACGTGCTTATGCCCACATGCATATGACTACACATACTCTCCCCTTCCTTTCCCTATCTACCTTCCCCCTCTCCCTCACATATCTTCCACTTCCCCTCCTCCCTCCCTCATCTCCCTCCCTGTCTAAGTTGATTGTTTTTGGAATGAGCAATAATAAATATTTGCCTGAACAAACAAATCCGCTATATTTTTCCAATATCTTACCCTCCCAAGCTAACATGATATTTACGACAATCGTTTTACACAATTTCCAAGAAAGATTGAAACGTCTATAAAATCATAAACGTTAAGTATCTAACAAGCTGAATTCACTTCAGTTTGATAAGGTACTTTTAACCCCTAACTCAGTTTTTCTTACTGTAAACGACTCTCATATGTCAGAGCTTTCATTAATTCAAATGTAAAATGTTTATTTTTCTGTGTGTAAATATGAGGTCCTTAGATAAAATTTCTAGATTTGTCTTGGTCTTTCATCACAGGACGAAACACGCTTGCTAACTGTATTTCCTGAATTGGTTTTCCAAAATGTTCTAATCAGATATTACAAAAAATTGACTCCGTACTCCGCTGATTAGCATACATGCGATGGCAGTTTACGGACAGAAAGCTTTAAAAATGACATTCCTGCATAATATCAATGTAGGGCCAAACTCTGTTGAAAGGCATATTTTTTGCAATAAGATTTTCGATGACAGACAATATTTAATGTTACTATTTAACATAGATGCTTGTTCTAACACGTAAATTTACCAATGATAGGATAAGGAACAAATAGGAAATATTTCTATATCTAACATGTTTCGCACTTATTAAAGCTACTTCAGAGAATGAAATTTAGAGGAGACAAAATTCTGGAATTTAATTGGTTAAGCAAACTTTACGCGCATCTTTCTTGCTAAGCAGCGCTCGGGTGTATAATTCAAGTTTAACATGATTGTAATTTGTGTGTGCTAACATGTTTTCCTTCGCCATATTGTCTGAAGCTTTGATAAAAACGAACCATGTTAGATTTATAAACGTTTATTATTGGCTCATAATCATATCATTTTCTCGGATTCTAATACATTTTGGTCTATATTAGATCTTAATTACCCTAAAGGAAAAGTAAATAGTTTTGCCTATCAATTTCCTATTGGTTCCTGTTTCTTTTCATGTGCCATGTCCTTCCAGGACGTAGGTAATAATGGCGCTCCACCATCCTCTTTCCCTTGCAGATCTCAACAATTTCATTCACTCTGTTTCTTTCCCCAAACCGAGGAGGCACAGTGGAGTTATGGATAGCGGCTTGGATTGAGGAATCGGAGAGCCGAGTTCGAATTCCAGTCGAATTCATTACATTCACTTATGTGCTAATACCACTGGGAAAGGTGTGAATCCTCTTTCTTCTCCCTTCAGCTATGGATAAATAGCAGGACAGACTGGGTTCTATAGCCTTTGATGGCAACTGGTCTAGGAGAAGGAAAACTCTGAATTCAAACCTGCTCTTAAAAAAATCCAAGGAGCGTCTGCATCGGTAACCGTTCTTCTGGTCGTTCCTCTCTCTGCGTCTGTGGGAACCCCGCGGCAAGCAAGAACGTTATCCGAGTAGGCCTGGGTACCCTACTTCTGTAATTTATCCCAAGAATCTTCTCACATGACTACGAATGAGTCAACAGGAAGAAGCCGGCTCAATCCGCCCAGGGTGAATGCCGCATCAAGTACAAGTACAAGTTTCCCCAAACCACCTGTCATTCACTTGCTGAAGCCCGCCTTGTTTTCCCTTGTCTCTCTTTCCGTCTATTCGACCCGTGATTATCACATTCTCCAGGCTCTCTTTCCTCATGTGTCCCAGAAACTTCAGCTGCCGCTTCCTGATGTTAAGTATAAGCCTCCTTTTTTGCAACCTCTCTGACATCATCGTTGCTCACATGCTCGGACCATGGTATCCTTTAGCATCCTTCTGTAGACCCAAATCTCTGTCGCATAGTCTCTTCTTTTTTCAGGAAATCTTCCAACATCCGCTGCCGTAATGCAGGACAGATGTCGCTAAAGAGCTCAATATTCTTCTTTGTTACCAAACAAATCCTCCTCTCGCAATACTCCCAACTTTTGGAATGTGCCCTTGGTTATCCTAATACGTCTACGGATGTGTCAAGAAGGCTTCCCAGATATTTAAACTCGCGTTTCAGCTTGATTCTAGTGTTCCCGACCTGAAAATCGCATTTTGGGTTCATGTTCTTACTGATGACCATGCATTCTGAATTGTAGTTAATGCTTAGTCATTTCTTCTCACTCACCATCGCTACCGTCTGCATATTTTTTTCATACCGAGTCTATTAATAATAATTACTTAAATTTGAGTTTTAAAATTGTTACACAGAGGTATTATGTATATATAAACATAACTTATCCATCGTGTAAATAATCCTCATACTCAAACGCCATCTTGATTTGATGGCATACGTAAGAAAGTTATTCAAGTAAAGTACATTAATATGGCCACCTGTTTGAGTGTCTAAATATGCGCATGCGTGATTATTTGTATGTTCGATCGAAATGTAGATCGTAATGTGAAATATAAGGCAGCTGATTAAAAAGGCGAATAATGTGGACATGAAAAATTTGAGCGAAACGAAATTCTCCAGAGCAAAACAAAATAAACTTATTGAAGAAATAAATAAATATGCAGAGATGTTCCTTTTTTTTTTTTTTTTTTTTTTTTTGTTTCAAGAGTAAAATAAAGACCGAACACTTGCAGAAACGTGAATACGTAGGCGTTGAGGTTTTCCACTGAAGGAAATGAGGTTATTAAATTTGCCTCAAGATCAAGCCAAGTGTAATAATTCGGATACTAAGAAAAGAATCGGTTTTAATTGATGCGTTCCACTCAGTTCCTTCGCGAGACTTTAAGAGAAAGAATCATGCTGAAATAGGAACTTGTGATTAAAAAGAAACGGTAAATATCGAAAAGGGGAAGAAAAGGAAACTAAATATGCTTTTGTCTGAGAGGCAACCGTGTGTAACTGAAGAAGTAAGCAGAAGGTCGATTAAGAGACCGGATTATCAATATCTTGTGTAACTGTTAATCGATCCAAGGTTGATTGGAAATGGCAATAGTGTGTAGCCGATCCAAGTCCAAACATTTAGTTCATAATATCCATAAGCGTCAGAACAATAACACACTATTTTAAAATATAATTAATTTTGTCTCATATATTCTATATTTCACAAAATATAGATTTAAGGTATGTCCTATTTATTGGGTAAAAATGATCAATCTCCGAGATTAATAGTATCCAGAAAATTTATTTTAATCATTTAAACACCAAGGAAATCAAAGCTAATAAAACACAAATAATATATATATATATATATATATATGTGTGTGTGTGTGTGAACTTTAGTCGTTCATGAGCCTCCGATATTTAGGTATGAAAATTAATAGAAAAGACATTTTCGTTTATCTATTTCATCACGATTCTTCTGTTAAGCTTGGAAAGTAATTATATATACATATTGCTCAAAGAGTTTAATAGGGTTAATATCAACTTCGGAGATTTCCAGTAAGATATAATTTCTCAGATACAACTATTCGAAACTTAATCAAACAAATGGACAATTTTGATGTTACACCCGGTATTATAATCAAATCCGTAAAGGGAAAGTATAATCCAAGTATGTATTAATATAAAATATTAAAGATATATCCATGAAGAGATTTCAATGTATTCTTTGCAGAGCAATATCATATAAATGAAAGGAAAAAAAAATTAACACATCTCGGAAAATCCGATAACAAATTTAATTATGCAAGTAAGTTTTTAATATCTGCCTCGTTTTAATATCTGCCTAGTTTCGGTCTGATGAGTTCGGTATTAAAAACTTACTTGCCTAATTAAATTTAACAGATTTTCCGAGATATGATGATTTTTTTTTTTTTTGTTTACTTTTTGTGAGATATATATGATAGGCTATTTTAGGAGATATGTTAGGATATAAGCTATGTGGTCACAGATTGACAAACAAAAAAACAAATTTACTGTTTCGAGATTACATCTATTTTCAAGGGATTTGTTTGTAAAACTGAATTAATTTACTTATGTAGTTTTCCATTCTCAACTATCATATATTATAGATATATTTTTAAAAATATTTTCCTTGGTCGCATTAGATACTAGGAGAGTAAAATTATATTGTCGATGTCCGAGTAAACACTGTATAGTGTCTTTCAGATTCATGCTTGAATGTTATAGACTAAAAAATGGCTTTGATCTGACGACCTCTTTGAGGCTGAAACTGGTGGTCACATTTCATACATTTTTAAATTGTCTATTTCTGATAAGAAATATGAGACACACAAACACATACACAGAAGTACACAGATACACGCACTCGCTCACGCAGAAAGGTACGCAATCGCTCACACACATATACACACTGATACACGGGAATTCCAAAAAGACTGACTGGCACTCAGTTTCAAGCGGTAAAGATTATCAGACATTATTCTCAGTTTATGGAGTCAATTTGAAGTAACTGTTTGTCTAAAATATATGGTGGATAGTGACCATTCCATTCGCTTAAATATTGCAAATTTCAAACTGATGTATATGCGTGTGTTCTGTTGCTGATATTAATCAGTATAACGTATAAATATAGCATACCTTTAAAACTATATATATATATATATATATATATATATATATATATATATATATATACACACACACACATGGAACCGGAATTGGATATTTTGTGCCTTAACTGTCTCGGCCACAAAGGAGTTCCTTTGTGGCCGAGACGGTTAAGGCACGTCAGCATAAATGACGGTTCCGTATAGGATGCAGGTTCGAATCCTGTCAAAGGACGAATATTTTCTATGAAAGTTTCTCGGACATTCAGGCCGGTAAATGTTATTTAATACTGTTTATTATAAACAGAGCATTTACTTAAATACTTGTATCTATAAAAAAGAACGTTAAACATAAAAAATGTCTTTAATAAATAAATTGTCGGACTTTGTCCATTTCTTAATATATGACGTCATTTGTTTACATTTGATACGCCAGAGCAGTTATGAATGTACGAGATTCATGGAAGATTGAAGTTTATAAGCAGTAAATTCGACCTTGCCTACCGAACGCTCCTTTGTGGCCGAGACGGTTAAGGCACGTCAGCGTAAATGACAGTTCCTTATAGGATGCAGGTTCGAATCCTGTCAAAGGACGAATATTTTTATGAATCAATATATATATATATATATATATGGAATTTTTTTAGCACAATATTTATATCGAGTATATGAAATATATAAATAATTGATGGAAAATCATGAATTCGAGATAACGCTGTAAATATATTTATATAAATTGGCTCAGTATACAACACAATTGTCCACTTAAATACTCAATTTAAAAAAAAAATGATCCATTTGAGGCACATGATTTAAAATATATTTATGGCTTCAATGAAAAAGTTAGTAATTGAAATATTTTGACAGATTATCAGTTATTGTTTTAATAACATGCCTGTGCTCTGTTGCCTTCATTAAATTCTGTATTTTAAAAAGTTCTATCATAAATTAATACGCACAGGTATTAAATGCAAACTGTGAACTAGAAGCTAACACCTTTATAGTAATATTAGTCGCCTTCCCATAATGAGTTTGGAATTCATGGACCAAGCAGCCAGTGCTACTTTTGGTTGATATCCGTTTCTCATATATTATTCAATCTAGTAACCGCTATTTCATTTTTCAGCGTTGATGGGGATTTCTTCATGATATAATACTGTGGAATATCAACCATTCAATTAAATTATTACTTTGGCTTTGTTACATATGCTAACCATTTCAGTTGTTGCCATTTTTGGATGTCTTAAAGTTATGTGATTTTGTGCTAATTTTTTCAGCTACTTTTTGTGATTGTCTAACGTCTGAGCCACATGTTGAAGGATTACCCTGCTTTAGCAAATGCATGCTTCATTCTTTAGAAAGCATCTGTAATCATTGATGTGAGAAAGTGGTTCTATACAGGTGACAGTTTAGATATATTTGGCGACAGGTATAACATGCATATAAAAGTATGCATCTGACGTGGTTATTTAAGAACAAGAATTAATGCTGTGGTTTTCTATTAATTTAGGCTGTTGGGTGAAATGACAAATAACTCAAGTCATGTATGCTTTTCTTATGATGTGTTATAACTGATCCAAACGCTGAGGTATTTTAGTAATTACTAATTCTATATACTGATTTCTCTAATTGATTCGAGTTAAATTTCCCTACTGTTTTCGTTCCATTCACAAATTTTCTTTTGTCTTGAAAGGCTTTTCTTGAATCGTGCATTGTTATATTATTATCAACCACATGCAAATTGATTTTACTTCCAGTGTAGCAGTGATGTCGTATGCAAATGCAACATATTCAATATTATGAAAATATATGGTATTTTTTTTTATTCGCCATCTATATTATAAAAAAGAACTCCCAGCAAAGTAACTGCTCGGGAGAAATCTTGACAGATGTATGATTGTTGAGAAGAAAACATATGGAACAGGCAGAAACAGTAATATTTTGTTTTTAAAATCAACCCTAAATATTCCAAACTTTTTCATTATTCACGTGTTTTTGTCATTTTGCAAAAAAACAGTTATATTTCTACACATACGGTTCCTGTATATTTAATTCAAACAACATTTCACATTAGATTTTCTTCTATATATCTTTGTGTCAGCCTGGTTGTATATTTGTTTCTCTCGCTGTCTTTGTTTCTCTCGCTGTCTTTGTTTCTCTCCCTCTCTCTCTCTCTCTCTCTCTCTCTCTGTCATACTGTGCCCCTCTCTCTCTCTCTGTCATACTGTGCCCCTCTCTCTCTCTGTCATACTGTGCCCCCCTCTCTCTCTCTGTCATACTGTGCCCCTCTCTCTCTATCTCTGTCATACTGTGCCACTCTCTCTCTCTGTCATACTGTGCCCCTCTCTCTCTCTGTCATACTGTGCCCCTCTCTCTCTCTCTGCCATACTGTGCCCCTCTCTCTCTCTCTGCCATACTGTGCCCCTCTCTCTCTCTCTGTCATACTGCCCCTCTCTCTCTCTCTGTCATACTGTGCCCCTCTCTCTCTCTCTGTCATACTGTGCCCCCCTCTCTCTCTGTCATACTGTGCCCTCTCTCTCTCTGTCATACTGTGCCCCCTCTCTCTCTGTCATACTGTGCCCCTCTCTCTCTCTTATATTTATATTTATATATATATATATATATATATTCTGCCTCTCTTTATCACTTTTTCTGTTGGTGTACTGATAAGCGTAAATCGCCCGGAATAAAAACATTGTGAATGCTGTAACCGTATATCAGAAAACTACATGGAATCAGTATTTAATTATGGTCCTGTAATCCTAATCTTTCTCATTCTGTTTGAACGGTTGTGCACTTCGTCCTTGATCCGGTGCATGTCTATTCTGATAATCTACACCCATTTGTGAACTGAACCGTTTCTTTAATATATGAGGGTAGATTGTTTTATTACTGCCCATGTCTAGGGTATAGTTCCTTTTTTTTTTTTTTTAGTACTTCTCATTTCTCGTTATGTTTTCACTGAAAGGTAATAGCAAACAGAACAATAGAACGCGTGTAAATAAGTAAACCTTGATCATGGTCATATTGTGATGAGATGTTTACCTATAAATGAAAAAGCCAGTTACAGATTTGAGAATATTCTTCATAATGAACTTGGCATGACGAAGGTTTATTCACGGTGACATTATTTGAGGCATACATCTGATATCGTTGAAACTTTACCAACCCAGGACGAGTGTTTAGTTGAAATTCATTATGAATGATGTTATCAACTCTCTCTCACGGGATATGCCAATAGAATTAGCTATTTCCTTTATAGTCAATCACCTCTTATCCATCACTAGAAGTTCAAAACGGTCAATGTTTTCCTCGGGCCATCTTCAAGATTATTCCTTACATTCTTGTATTCAGTAGCCCAATTTTGCACTAATGCAGCATCTATGGCAGAATGAATATCATTGGAGGTTAAAACCCTAGTCTACAGACACTTGATAAAACCACGATGCTAAATTTTGTCCAGTTTTGAGAGATTTCGCTACCTGTTACATAAGTATTTTCTGAAGAGCCAGATCAGTTTACCTAGAAAGAAATAATGTAGTTAATATGAAAAGCTGATATTAAAGCATGCAAAATTTCACAACGTTAACCTCGCTTCTTAGTAAGTCTATGAACATACCGCTCATCTCAGTAATTTTCACGGAGGAATATCAGGTGACACTCGATGGACCGGATGGATGAGCCAAATATGGATTTTACATGAAGGTGTACCTGTGGCTAAAAGGCAGTAGAAAAGCGATAGAAGTGTGCTAATATGGGATGCAATTTTTGAACAACCATTGTTGAACCATTCAAATTAGTTGGCGATACCAAACCTCGCAGTTACAAAGTGAAGTGTATATTTATTCATGGCAATTCCTCTTATATATTTAAGGTTATCAGTGAATGATTTGAGCGTTAAAAGTTTACAGGAAGAAAGATGATGGAATGGCAGTCATCAAGTCCCGATGACTACTCGATCGAAAATCTGGGGTCATTTATAAAGATGAAATATGAAGTTGACAAACAGTATGACAGCAAAACACTCCTATTGGTAAGAAAACAACCATGTCGGAAATTCAACCTGCTGATTTAAAAATTTAACAAAATCAATAAATAAGTTTGCTAGAAGTTATTAAAAATAGTGACAATATTAAGAGGGAAATTTTTCAAATACTAATGTTCATTTGTTCTATTATAGTTAAATTTTGAATTTATTTTCCAGTTTTGCATAACATCAGATGGGATATTTTTTACAATAATTCCAATAAATAAATGCCTTACCTGGATACTGTTTTTATGTATAAAGTGTATATAATGTGACCGAAAATTGATCAAAGCAAATTGAGGTTTACGTGATTTGTATATCTTAAGACGGACTGTATATTATGATACAACTCTGAAGTAGAATTAAAATATATGGGGATACCTTATTCGGCAGTCTGTATGGAAAAAAATGAGAGTATAGCTTATTTGTAGGAATAGCACAATGTTTTTGAGGACATCATGAATAGACTAACGAATAAGGTCTCTAGGTAAACGAAATACTGCTTTAAAAAAAATGGAATATATACGGCCAAAACTAAAGCCGTTTTCTGGAAAGGAAATATGGACATACATATTCTGTATTTGTGTTCAAAAAACCAATGACATCTCTTTCGTAAAATTATATCATCTGTTTTGGTTAAGATTTCTAAGAAACGCTTCTGTCTCTCATATATATATATATATATATATATATATATATATATACACCGAGAGAGCAGAAGCGTTTCTTAGAAATATTAACCAAAATTTATTACAGATTGCTCCTCCATTTCAAAACTACTAATGAGTTAAACATTTCATTACTTAGTTATTCCCAACATTTAAGGTTTAATATTGAAATTAAAGTTTCATACAGATGACCAATTAAAAAACAGTAATTTCTGTGTCACGATGGAATCATTTTTTTTTTTAATCTAATTCAGGCTCGACTTTTGTATCCAGGAATTTTTTTTCCAAAATAAAACTAAAGATCTTAGGATCATCAATCTAACAGTTCTTTCTACCATCTCTCTCATATATATATATATATATATATAATTGCACCTGAAGTAAGGTAGTAAATCCACGAAGATGCAAAGGAGTGATTGAAAGTTAGAGAATGAGAAGATTGTAAGATCAATTCAGTCGATAACAAGACATTGCATTTAAATTTTTGACTAATTAGCAAGAGGTAGAAAGACACCCGCAACCGAGTATTGCAATAGAAGGAACTTTTAGCATGGAACTTATGGATACCTCTATCCATTTTATCTATAAAATGAGTTCTTGCCGCCAGTCTAGGTACCATAGGGGAAAGTTCATCAAAACAATTCCCATGAATGTAGAAAAGATACAATGAAGCTGGGTCCGTTGGAAAGTGATGTCGCCAGGTCAGGACTAATAACATTTTGGATTCTTTGGATATTATCAATAATCTCTAAATATATAATAGGAGAAACGTATCTGTTGTGGCATCAATATCCAAAGCAGGGACAAATGGCAAACTTGTCAGATTTTTTTCCGGCGAGGAAAATTGTCTATCACTACACAAGGAACGCACATTCTTAGCAACTGATTCAATGCTATCATTCTACATTTATCAGCGGAAAACCTTTGTTCGAAAAGGCACAATGACACTCTGTTCTGGAGAATAGCATCAGTCATGATGATGGAAGGTAAATGTTCTCCCAGATGATTAAATGAAGACGGTTTCATTTTGGATTCGTTAAAAATTATTAAGCCATACCTTCCCTAGTTCACAACTGTTAGTATATAATTTATAGATCAGCTCACAACTTAGACATCTGTTATAACAAGAATAAATAGTTATCAGCATAGATGTCGGGGTTAGTTCAGATGCCATCACGAAGTTTGTTGACAAAAATCTAATGTTTAATGTTAAAGCAAAAAGATCTAGAATAGTTGCCATTCAAGTCAACTTACATTTCGCGATTAGATAAGACTGATTCAGTTCAAAAGTCCATTAACCTTTTCACCTTGTGAAGGCCAATGTAACATCCTGTCAAATATCTTCGATATATCGAAAACAGCGCCAGTATCACCGTCCATATCTGAAGTTTGATAGAAATAACCGTTAGGCATCAGCAGTTGAGCTACAGCAGAGAAAGTTTTATAACTAATCTGAAAGAAGAGTAGTAAGGTGAGATCCTTAAACAATACAGCCTTGATTTTAGCCTCTAGTATTTTGCCAAAAATAGGTAAAATTGAGAAGGGTCAGATGATTCCCCTTAGAGAGGAAATACAGAAGGGGATTTTCCAACAAGCAGCAGCATAATTAATGTAGAGTTATTATAGAGAGCAAGAACTAGTTGGCGAGCATATATGAGGACAATTGCGGCGATTTCAATAAATCCATGTTTGAAGAGATATATTTAAATGATGGCACGGAAGGAATTATAGGCATATTAGATAAATGAACTCTGTTCTACGGGGAAAATATACAAATATATTCTACACAGCAATCACTCCATTTCCTTCTATAGATACATTTTTACTCTAAGCTCTGTCTGCCTGTCGTCTAAGCTCTCTCTGCAAGGTAAGCATGTATGTAAGGTATGTTTATCTGACTCACTCTTTATATATATATATATATATATATATATAAAAATACTTTTCCTCTTTGCCAATATACAAGTCATTTGTTTTTTATCCGTAGTATTAATCGACTTTACACTTGTCAAATTCTAGGATGAGAATTCTTTAGTCTTATCTCGAAACTTTCCTGTCACTGACACAAGAAAAATGAACGTTCCAATTCTTAATCTTGATACTCTTTTTCTATCATACACTGAATTCTATATTCCATGTAAATGAAACACTGTATTTGTATGGAAACTGTTTCTGCCGTTTGCATTTACGTCATCACTACACAGACCTGTGTGTGTGTGTGTGTGTGTTTATGTATATTCCATCACAAGGATATATTAAAAATAGTGATATTCGCAGGAAAAATGACGTATGTCAGTTATTGAAGTTTTGTTGCGTACTTGCGATGGTTGTCATCGTTCGAACCTGGAATATGTTCTGCGCAGAGAAATGTTCGCGTAAGATGCCCGTCTAAAAGCATATAGACTGACGATCTGTCATTGTAGGAGCAATCATGCTTAAAAAGGCTCTTAAAGAAACTCTTCGGAAGGGTTTCTTTCTAAACCAACTTCTCAGAGCAGGAACATTTTGAATTCTTCCGAAAGGTGAAGGTTTCCTATAAAATATTTCTTACTACAGCGTTGTCAACGATAATGGAGTTACGTGTAGAAAATTATTCTTACCCTCACCTCACCAACGCAAAGTAAGTTTGAACCTGGTCAGTTCCTAGTTGGGTGACCATTTGTGAATATCAGATGTCCTACGTTTGATGTGATGTGCAGTTTTTGTCAGTTAATGGCAGGAATGAGAATGTAGGCAATAGATTTCGAATTCCAGTCGGGTTCATTAACTTCACGGATTCACTTTTACACTTTGACTGAATATGAAACAAAAAAGAAGGGATCGCCGAAATCTTCCTTATTCCTCTGGTTATAGCCTACGTCCGACAAAGGACATCCACTGG